ATTTTATTGTTTCCAAATACAATTATTTAGTTTGTATATGTTGGCAAGAATGTTGGACGTTTTTTTACGAGTGGGTTTTTCTTCTTGTAGTGTATATCTATATGGAAACAATAGTTGCATGTGTAAACAATTTATAAGTTGCATGCTATTAATTTCCCTCTTTACACACACACAATGTGACTAAAGTGATTATATGAGTGTAACCTCATGGTCACTATAGACTACAACTGAATATAATCATAGTAACAAAAAGTTATTAATACAACCACTTATAAGAAGTCACATTTTTGTCCATCTGTGGAAATTTAAAAATTATTAGACCAACTATAATGGTCATTGGGTCTCTTACAAATGCTAATGGGCTATTATTGACACTTTATTAAGCCTCTATGAAGTACTATCGGGCTAATGTCAAATTCTACTAGACCACTCGTGATAGTTGTTGGGTCTTATCAAAAGGAAAATATTAATATGGATCCATTCAAATATAATTTAATTAATTCGGATCATTTAAATATCCAATTAATTTAATTCTTTGAAAAGAATGGACTGATCTTATTAATTTCTTTACCTTGATCCCGTTATTAAATAATGGCCAAATAAATAAGAGACATGATCCAATATATGAAGAGGGGGGCAAATCTAGTTAAGAAATCCGTCCAAATGCTTGCAAAATAACCACGAACTTTGTTAAAAAGCTAAGGCTGTCCAGATACATCTCATTGTTGGAGCCCAAAGCCCATTTTAATTTGAGCCCTAGGCATATGGACGGATTTTGTGAAACCCTAAATCGTTTCTCTGCCCCTCCACACCTATAAATAGGGGTCTCAGTTGAGAGGAGGAGAGAATTTCTAGATAAAAAACGCTGCAAAAAAGCTTCGAAGAACTCCCGAGAGGCTCTGAAAGATTCTGAAGAAGATGAAGAAATCAAGCCACAAATGTTCTCAAGAATATACGAATAAACATTTGTACTTTCGTCCATTCTTGATAAAATAAGTCTAAAAGTTGAAGAACGTTCGAAGATTTGAAGAATGAAGTTCAAACATTCGAAGATCTGAAGAACAAAGCTTTGCAGATTCGAAGATCTAAAAAACGAACGTTTGAAGATTTGAAGATATTCATATGAAGATTGTATCTAGATTCAATTGAAGATCAAACCATATATCCCGGTAAGCCCTTTAACACAAGATCAAGCCATAAAACGGCTCTTATGTTGAAGATCAAGCTACTTGAAAACCGGAGGCCCTTCAAGTTGAACTCTTCATTCAAGAACATTTGAAGACTCAAATTACCAAGCTTTGAAGTTTCGAAGATCCGAAGAACGAAGATTCGAAGATTTGAAGATCTTAAGAACGTTCGAATATTTGAAGGATTAAAGATTTAATTTCGAATTAAATTCTAGCTTTAATTATATTTATTTCAAATTGCAAATGAAGAATCAAAGGATTCATATTTAGAGATTGAACCCAATATTCTCATATATTATTATTATTTGCAATCAATTTTAAGTAAATACTTAAAATTTGTTTCAGACCATCGTTCTTGTTTGGGTAATAATCCACACACACACACACACACACACACATATATATATATATATATATATATAGATTTTTGTTCAAATAAGAACATGATCTTATGAGAAAAATGAGAATGAATCTGGACCGTTAGATTTGCTTTATGTGAAATTTAATGTGCATTGGATTAAGCTGTAATGTGTATTAGGTGAAATTGAAATGTGCAACACAAATGGTACAATGTAGTGGCATTATGTGAAGTTAAATTGTGCATTAGGTGAATTCGAAATGTGTACTAAATGAAACTAAAATGTGCAGAATAAAAGGTACGATGTGATGTTATTTTTGTACCTTTTATTCTGCGCATTTCAGTTTCACCTAATGCACACGTGAGTTTAAATTTTAATTGTGCACATTCAATATCATCTAATGCACATTTTGGTTTCACCAAATGCATAATTCAGTTCCACATAATTACTACTATGATTAATGTCATTCTTTTTACCAAGGCTATATGTGTGTGTATGTGTGTAGTGTAGCTATCTTCCTCTATCTTTAGCAATAGCAATCATCATTTCAGTTTCTAGCTAGCTTAGACAATTAGATTCAAGCCTCATCCATCTATGAATTGCTACTGCCTTCAATTCGAATGACCACTTGAATCGAAGCCTTGCATATTGCATAGATTGTATATGATACTGTATTATTTTTCTTCCATTCACCTTTTCTTTCTATTTTAATATATATACCTTTGATTTCTATATTTCCTGTTCCAACACTTCACCGATTGAGCCTTAGGCTCCATATTCTCAAGGTCGGGGTAATATAATGTTTAAAGTAATTTATGTTTTTGGAAATGTAAGAAGTAAATCTATGTAGATAGATAGGAACCAAGTTATGTTGTGGTGCATTAGTCAAGGCGTCAACAAATTGGGCCATTAACAGTGGCAGTGGCCCCAATACACTTATCAAAATGAGAATATGTAGCATAAAGTTGTGGATATATGTATTGTGAGAGCAATTGAAACTCTTGCACCTATTTTTTATTACATATATTTAATCCTCACCCTTCAACCTATGTCATGAAAAAATTATGTTTGATTAATTTGAACACTTCTTGTTTTTCTTGAGTTACATTTACTATTAAAAATACGGTGGACATAATATGCACTTCTTGAAAAACATGATCACAAAATTTTACTCGAAACAGCCCAAATGGAGGCGGCTAGACGGAGGTTCATATCAAACCGGCTTTGCAGGAAGATTCATCAATGTATGTATATAGTTGGGCAACTTGGTAAAATTAATGTTTGACTACTTTAAATATTTTATTTTTATTAAGTAAAATTGTGACAAATACAAAGTTGACGTTTAATTTTAAAAAACTTGGTAGTTTAACTAAATTAACATTGGTAAAAGTAATTTATATACCCTAAACTTTAATGGGATGTGAGATAACAACCTGCATACCCTCACGAAATACAACGGAAAAAGTAAAAGTAAACGAGAACCGACAAAAAAAAGCAGAGGTTGGGGGGGGGGGGGGCTATACTTGACCCAACGTTACAAGTAAAAGAGTTAAACTAAGCATCTAAAAGTACAAGCTTTCCTGATCAGTCCGAGATGTAAACTGAGCCGACTCTATGGATGCAAGAAGATGAGCATGCCCGTTTCCTTCACGTAAGACATGGCCCAAAATTATATCTTCCCTAAAAAGCATATGTCTGAAATCAACAATTATGTCCACAGGTTAAATAATTGTTGAATCAACGCTAAAAGCTCCAACTGAAGGTTATACATAAGTTTATTAACGACCTCTTATTAAACAACAGGTTAAATAAAACATGTTTCATTGAGGTTTTATTGAAATATTAAAAAATCCAACCTACCCCTAAAACTAGAGCATAGAAGTCATTCATTTATTGGCTCACCATCCCGGCAAATGAACCCTATCCAAAATTGAAACAATCAATTGGCCCCACAAGCGAATAAATTAAGTAGACGTCTTTTTATCATGCAAATGAGCGATTACTGTCCTCGTTTTCTGATTCCTGACTTCGTCCGGAACACACAAGTACATCCTTTTACGGAATATGCTACTTCTGTTTTTAAGAATGGGTCAAGAGCAACTAGTTTGAAACAAAAGAAAAAAATATTAAAAAAGTTACTGCAAGGAAAAACATTTATGGAAAATCGTAGAATTGAGTAGTACTAGATTCTCACCCGTGCGATGCACAGAATAAAATTTAGTAAAACAATATCGTATTATTTATTTATGGGAAAACTGTCAAATAAGCCCTTCTACTTTGTACGGAAAGTCAATTAAGCCCCTCTACTCTAAATTCGTTCATTTCAGTCCACGAAGTCTAAAAAACAACCAATTAGGCCGTTTGGAAGGTTACCAACCGGTAACCCCGTTCACTGCTTATGTGGCAGCCTAAGTGGCAGTTTTTAAGTTGGCTGAGTAAGTTGACATGTCAAATATTTTTAAAGATGCAATGGGAGTATATTAAAAAATAAAAAACTAAACCCTAAAGGACGAAGTTCTACTCTGGGTCGTAACAGTCGTCGTCTTCCGAGTCTTCTTCCTCCCTGGGTCGTAACAGTCGTCGTCTTCGAATGAAAGCAGATGGCATCTTCATCCGCATCTACTGCCACTAAAGGACGAAGTTCTACTCTTTTGTATGAACCGCCTGTGTATTGTCTTTGTGGATTGAAATCCCCCTTGTGTGTTGTACGCGAAACAGGGAGAAGTTTTTATGGTTGTCAAAAATGGAAGGTAATTCTTTCGCCATTGTATTCATTCTTTCGCCATTGTAAGCGAAACAGGGAGAAGTATTAATTCTTCGAATTCGGTTTTTAAAAAGATGGGAGTGTTAAAGTTGTTGTTTGTTGTTAAATTTTGAGGATAAACAATTCCCCCATTGTCAATTTAATGTTCCCTTTAATGTTTGAACATCCCTGACATTCCATTCCAGGTTAACATGGGATGTGGATTTTTCTTGTGGAAGGATGATGTAGAGATAAGAGGCACACATCATGGAGAAGAGATGAAGACAAAAGCAGACAATGTGAGGTTCATGACTACTGCAATGGTTGAACAAAGGGCTGTACAAGGACAAATTGCTTATCTTACAAAGCTACTTGAAAATGAAGCCAAGGAAAACAAAAAATTTAGGCAATCAGTTGCTTTTGTTTTCATTGCTGTAGTTGCTTTTGTTGGTATGTTGTATATGCACTTCAACACAAAAAAATGCATATATTAGTGGTTGTAGTAGTGTGTTGTAATCTGGTGTGTTGTAATGCAAATTTAGGCAATCAGTTGCTTTTGTTTTCATTTGGTCTGTAATGACAGTTTTTCATTGCTAATGTAGTACTTATTGATGACCATTTAGCACTTTCCATTGTTAATATAGTAAAACTTTTCATCCTTTGTTGACTTTTGGTACAATTTAATGGGCTGAATTGAAGATTCCGATTGTCTGGGAATTAAACATGGGATGAATTGAAGATGAATTAAACATTAAACGGATCCAAACATTAAATATATATGTACCTGTTATAGTAAAAAACAGCTTCATAGTAAAGGTGAATGGGTTGAATTGAACATGATTGTACATCCAAAAACCAACACTGATTTGAGAACTTAAAAGCATGAGTTCTGGCCCACATATACCATACGTACAAGCAATTTTATAGCCAATATTCACCCAAAAAAGCTCACAAAGTTGAGCCAAACATACTGCCAACAACAGTTTCAAGCCAAACTACCACCACACATTACTTATCCAACAAAACAACTAAGTCTTTACATCCCATTACATAAAAGCCATCAAGCAAAACAAATTTAGTACTGTTTTGCCCTTTATCTTCATCATGCATTCAGTACTGTTTCACTTGGCTGCCCAGGCTGAAATGAGGTAACACCACATTTGAATAGACAAATTTTAACTTACATCAAGAAGGGTTTCACCAGTGTTGTGATTGTAGTACACACCAAAACCACTTTGTTGTCTTCCCCTCCCTCCTCCTCTAGTAGATCTACCCTGCCTTGCACCTCTTCTTCTCGGATTAGCTCTTGGTATTTCTTCAGTAGGTGTGTTTTTATTAGTACAAGAAGACTTATTATGTCCTTCCCCTTTACAATTGGAACATTTCATAACCCTTCCCTTTCTTGTAAGCTGTGAACCAGATGAGGGTGCTTCAGATGCTTCCCGGATTCTCTTCTTCTTTGGGCGTCCACTCATCTTCTTTGGCACAGGAGGCACAATATCTTCATGCTGAGTTCATGGCCATAACAACTCTCCATTAATTGGTGGAAGAGTGTATGAATAAGTTCTCTGGTAGAATTCCTTAGAGTAGCAGTTGTCCACATATTGTTCCGGATTTTGGCCATTATCAAAAATGGCACATATGGCATGCGCACAAGGTATTCCAGACAAATTCCACCTCCTACAGGAACATGTTTTACCATTCAGACTGACCTTGAATTGTTGTTTTCCCTTTTTAATTTCATAGCCATCGTCCCCGTTGAAATCCACATTCCATCCTTGGCTAGCTAAAATGTTTTTGTTCAATTTATTCATAATCACAGGTCCAAATTGTCCTGCCAATGTTAATTATTGGACTGAAATTATGCCAACCAGATTATAAAGGGAATTAATTATCCATTACCAATTGAAGTAAATATTATACCTGACCACTTTTTGACATATTTCCTTTTTTTGGCAATCCTTTTCATCATTGCAACTCTAATGTCCTCTAGCATTGGAATAATAGGTTTTCCTCTGCATTTGAGAAGGGTGCTATTGAAGGCCTCTGATAAGTTGTTCTCAACAGTATCACATTTCACATCCGTTCTAAAATATGCCTTGCACCATAATTTGAAATCAATTTTGCGCAAGTCTTTACCAGCATCACTATCTGCCTTATCCAACTCCGCTAATGCAGTCTGCAATTGTTCCTCGCAAGTGGACTTTGCACACATCCAGAACAGGTTCTTAAGAAGCAAACCTCTGTGGGTTTTGCTCCAATTCGCATGAATGTGTCTAGCACAATTTCGGTGCTCAGCCTCTGGGAAAACCCTTGCAATCACATTACAAAGACCCTGCAGTGCCAAGATATATGTAATTAACAGTCATAACAGCTGATATTGTAAGCTTAAATCATTACATGTATATATAATGTTACTTACCTTTTGTTGGTCACTTATGATAGTCCACAAATCTGACCTAGTGATTTGCAGATCAGTTTTCAGAAGCTCTAGAAACCAGGCCCATGACGAGTTGTTTTCAATCTCAACTACCGCCCATGCAATGGGGTACATTTGGTTATTGGCATCTCTACCTACTGCTGATAGTATCTCCCTTTTCAGTTGACCTTTAAGAAAGCACCCATCTAGTCCAACAACCTTCCTACAACCTTCAAGAAACCCTTTTTTAACCGGTCCGAAGCACACATATATGCGTTGAAATATAGAGGGAGAATCAGGAACTACTCTTGTAGTATGAATGACCATTGTACTGTCAGGAATAGACTGTAGGCATTCCTCTGCGTAGTTTCTGATTTTTTTGAATTGCTCTTTCCAAACTGTTTGGGTTTTCTTTTGAATAATCCTCAGAGCCCTGGTAGCCATACTGGTAGAAACGTGTTTTTTGAGCTCAGCTTTAATCAGTTTCTTCAGCTCCAATGCAGTCATAGTAGGATCATCAACAACCTTATCCTCAAACTTTTCTGCAATCCATTTCTGACTAACTATCTCCAACTTATACTTCAAATTGCATTGATGTTCTTGGTTGAAAACCGACACTTGAAAGCACTTCAATCTCTCAACCCATGTACCAGTACAAGAAAAAGAACATGTACCACCACATTTCACCCGGACTCTGTGTGGCTCATTTTTGGCAAATTTTATATCTCTTTTCTCATGCACAGCATATCTAACAAGAGCACTCTTGAATTGTGTACCATCTTCAAAATACATTCCCACCTGTATGTTAGGAGGCTCACAATCAGGATTATAAGTACAAAAGTGTTCTCTAGGTTGGTCATGTATTTCTGGTTCACCATTGTAGCTTCTTGGATTCGATGAGTCATACTCAACACTGTCTTCCCCTTCTGAGGTGTCACTTTTAGTTTTGTATTCCTCCTCTGCATCATGTGATGTTAACCCTTCACTCGTTTGGTCAACATCTGCATGATCACCTATAACAGGTTCTTCATCATGTTGGGGTACAGGTTTACCATTGGCATTCGTAGTTGGCACAGGTAATAGAGGAATTTCAACTAATTCAGCCTCATCAAGACTGTGATGTACATAAATCTCACACTTCCCACACCTTGTACCCATATATATCAGATCTAGGGTTGTTGCATCATTGAACAATTCATGTAACATCTCCATTGGTTGTTCTGGTGTTTTGTAATACAGCCCACAAATGTTCCCATATGATCCTGATTTTAGAGACTTCATCAGATGAGTATAGCTTATGAAATCAGGATCTACTTTAATGATGTCCACTTCACCACCTAAGTACATCGTAGGAGTACTAACAAAGTTCCCTCCATGGTGAATAATGAGCTCGACCCTGTCAAACATGCTGTACAAAACAACCAATGAATCACTTCAAGGAAAAAATCACTACTCAAATTACGGGGAAAATGTTTAAACACACACACTACCAATCAATTCCACTTAATCGTGTATACAAACAGAGTTGGACAAACAGCGAATCCGACCAAGCAAATACATGTAAAAATGTGTGGGGTTGTATAAAAGTAGAGTTCGAATATTACCTGTGAGGTTGTACTAAATCCGACCACTCAAACAGATGTTGGTTGCGCTTCACTTCTGGTAAGGACCATTTCAATGGCGTCGTTCTTCTTCACTGAGAGCTGAATGGCGTCGCTGGCAACATCGAAACATTAGGGCTTAATTTGAAATGTTTAGGGTTTAGTTTTTTATTTTTTAATATACTCCCATTGCATCTTTAAAAATATTTGACATGTCAACTTACTCAGCCAACTTAAAAACGGCCACTTAGGCTGCCACATAAGCAGTGAACGGGGTTACCGGTTGGTAACCTTCCAAACGGCCTAATTGGTTGTTTTTTAGACTTCGTGGACTGAAATGAATGAATTTAGAGTAGGGGGGCTTAATTGACTTTCCGTACAAAGTAGAAGGGCTTATTTGACAGTTTTTCCTTTATTTATTATATTATTACATTAAAAATAACATCAAATTCTCATAAAATTCAATGCGTAAATGTATGAAAATATAATTGAATGAGGAATTATATACGAAGTAATTATTAAGCTTAGGTTATATTACTAAAACAGAAAGTAACTAAGCATTCCAGTCCAAACCGATTGTGAGGTTATCGTGCCTAGTGGGAGGTTTCGAATTCGAAACTCGCTAAGCAAATAAGGGTTTGAAACTCAATGGAGTGAATTTCAGCCCTGATTACTCTAGCCCCTCCCCCATACCCCTGGAGTAAAAAAAATACTAAGACCGAAAGTTAGAGGCGACAATGTTTTAGAAGAAGGCAGAAAAATGGATATTACCCAGACTTGATCGGCCGATTTTGGTCCCATAGCATTAACTATGACTGGTGCTAGATATTACTGGTTTTGGTCCCTCGGTTAGTCTCAGTCCAGTCCCATTTTTTATGTTCTTAAACCATCCTAACTCTTCCCTACTATTTTTCAGGTTTTAAATGGATTCATATATATATATATATATATATATATATATATATATATATATATATATATATATATATATATATATATATATACAAGGAGCGGATCAGCTGAGAATTGAAGTACCTTTAGAGTGAGAATCTGAGAAGTCTAACTTATAAGCAAAAAACACGAACTGTTAACCAAAAAATCATAACTTAAAGGCCCCCTAAAAAACACGAACTTTCTGCAAAAAAAAATTTCCAGGTTTCTGGAGTTATTTTGACGCGGTGGCATTTTAGTAATTTTTTTGGAGGGGTCTATAAGTTATGATTTATTGGTTAAAAGTACGTGTTTTGAGCTTATAAGTTAGACTTCGCAGCTTCTCAGCCTAAGGGAGATTTCTCACATGATCTTTTCTCTATATATATATCACAAAAATGAATTCATCTCTTTTAAAATGCTTATACATCTTGATGAAAGTTGAAATTAATAAAATGGAAAAATGGACCGACAGTGACCAGCTGATTTTTGTGTCCCAAAAACATTAATAGGCAATGTTACCGATCCGAATTGGAAATAACAGTTATGTTCTAGTTCTTGGAATCGGTCGGCTCCGGTCCAAGACCGTGGACCGTGTCCATAACCACTGTTATCTATGATGGTTACATTCACAATATTTATACACCAAATAATCTCTGTCGATTTCATTTTCATTATTTTTAATTCTCTATAATACTACGCATAAGAATAATTATCAAATAAATTTTGACATATAAACACGCACTTGAATAAGAAAATCTAAATAAATAATACAAAACTTGTTATACAGAATACACCAATCTTACATTTATTATATCATTAAGTTCATAATTAAAAGAAAATAAAATAATGGCTAAGATTATATATCTTTAACTCTTTATTCACATATGAGAATATATAAATATTTAATATTCTACGCCCAGCTTAAAATTTAACCCAATTCTATCATTTGCAATACAAATATTATCAACTTTACTTTATTCAATTTCCCAAAAGAAAAAACTTTATTCAAATTACAAAAATTAAGGGAACCAATTTTTTTCCATACATGATATTTTCGAGTATTGTCTAGAAAAATATATGTATGTTTGTGTATGAATACAAACATACACGTATAAGTCATTGTCCATATTTAATTATTCTACTGGCATGTAATAATCACAATCCATCCTTTTTCTAACAAAAATAAAAAAACATGCAGGAGTATATCTAATAGCAGTACCGTTTAGCATAATTGCTAATGTTTATCAATTTAGTTAGATAAATATTTATCAACACAACCCCGTCTAACTAATACTCCGTATCAATTACGTACAATCACCTATTTTTATCAAAACCATTATTCTAAAGCATTTTCAAATTATATTTTTGATTTATTTAATTTCTAACTATTTACAACATGCTCCAATAAAAATTAAACCCGAAGTAAGAAGCTAATACTCACTGAAGTTACCTTGTCAAGATGAAAATTGGTAGCAGTGGGTAGGCGTATACATTAATGTTCAAATGGAAGGCATTACTATAACTGTTGAACTCAAAAGCTGAAAACTTGTTGTGGGCTATGGAGCTTGTTGAAAACTTCAGTCAACGACTCAACATTAGCTACCGCCGGCCTCCGCTACCTCTTTGAACTGCCGTCATTCCCTTCATTTTACTGGTTCCCCTCTGCCTCAATTCTGGCGGTATTGCTCTGCCGGCCACGGTAGCGGAAAAGGAAAGCTCCAGCCTCCAGGTCGGTCGTCGTCCCCAAGATCAGGAAATTTGTTGCCGAGATGCCTGGTCGCGAGCAGTCTCAATTGGCCGGCCAGTACGGTGGATGCCGACATGCCACACTCCTAGCCAATAAGCCACCGAATCGCCTGTTCTTTGCCTCCTCGACGCCATATCACTGCTTGCCCGACCGATTCTTACTAAATATACGCGATTGTCATGGAGAAGATTCGAATGAAATGGTTTTGTTTACGATTGACACAACAAACTAAAAGCTACAGTAGTTGGATATGGAGACTATAGGATGACTTTGACCCCACTCACCTTTATTCAAGGTGGAGTTTTAATATCCGTTGTGAAATTCATCTGTTTCACATTATTGTGATTGACAACCTTGAAAACTGGGAAAAGCATTTCAATATTTCCGAGGGCAACAACACTGGGCATGGTCCAAAAAGCTCCATTACCCCAATGCATTTCAGCCGGGTTTATTGGTGACCCGAATTTTGAACCGTATTTTTAGGCGGGAACATGACATGATTTTTCAGTTTGGTTGGTACGGAGTATATACGGAGTAGTAAGATAGGACAATACAATGCAAGGCTTCCATATAGGAGAAGACTGTCATATACTATCGAAGTACGAAGTATGCTCTACTACTATGTAGGTAAAGTACATTAAAGGAACCAATTAAAGAAGGGCCGGTATACATACTTTATTGCGGACCTCTAATAAATAACTGATTATTTAGAACATGATTTAATAAACAACACTTACTAACCAATGAAGTAAACAAATATCCTTAGTTATTCCATGACGCAACCATTTTGAAAATTGGGTCAAAATAATTCGACTTGAATACCCTAATGACACGTGAATTTTAAAAAACTTATGAGTACTTATCTAATTATTTTATCAAGTTCATAAAGTCATATCAGGTCAAGTATGATTCCTATATGTTTGAATGATTAGATGATCTACAATTTAGATTTTTTTTCTTGAACTGATGTGGCCATACAAAATCTTAACATGTTAATCATGATAATGATTAAAGTAACGAATGAAGTTAATATTTTTATAGGGAAAGTACATTTAAAAGTTCAGAATAGTGTGTGAGTTCGTTTGTGAATGTGTATACTTATTATGAATAGTGTGTGAGTTCGTTTGTGAATGTGTATACTTATTTTTAATCATTCAAAGTAAAGTACATGAATAGTGTATATGAGGTGAATAGTGTAACGAATAAAGTGACAACTATGATTGGAATATATACACTATACATTGTTAGTGAAAGTACATGAATAGTGTATCTTAACATGATTGGAATATATACACTATACATTGGAATATCCTCCGTCACTTCATTCCAATTATTATCATGATTGGAATATATACACTATGCATTGGAATATCCTCCGTCACTTCATTCGTTACTTTAATATTTTTATAGGGAAAGTACATTTAAAAGTTCAGAATAGTGTGTGAGTTCGTTTGTGAATGTGTATACTTATTACTTTAATTATCAGTTTGGTTCAGAATGCAGAATGCTAGCAATGTTTTTCGAGAGCTGAAAAAGTGTGTGAGTTCGTTTGTGAATGTGGAAGAACGTTGCAAAGCACCTGCCAACTTTTTATAGGAGGATTTGTTGTGTGTTAAATGGAGTGTTAATGGACCTGAACGTTGAACATCAATGACCAGTCCGTTGGGCATTGAATCGTCCATAAACTGTTCATTTAACGCTGCATTAAAAGATTAGAACGTTGGACATTTATTGGTGTAACGGTCCAGAACCCTTCTGGTGCGAACAGAACTGCTCCGTGGCCTTCTGGTGCGACCAGAACTGCTCCGTGGTCTTCTGTCCAAAAGCCACAAGAACACCCCTTTGGTCTTCTGGTTCTGAAGCCACCAGAAGTGCTCTCAAGTCTTCTGGTTCGGAAAACTGAAACCATAAGCAAAAATTAAATTGTATCATTGAATGATAGATTTTCGGACGACATTCGTGTCCGCAGGTCACCCGCGCACCATAAGTCGCGGTTTTTCTTCTCTATTTTCGGGATTTGATCGGCACCCCCCCTGCGCGCGAAGAGTGCCTTTCCCCGTGGGATTCTTAACTCCTTCAAGTTGGGTTCCCTTTATAAAGGGGTGAAAATCCTTTGGGTTTTTCGGTGTGGGATAAATTCCACTAGAAATCCCATCCTTTTCTCAGTTTTTCCATTTTAACGAGTGAACTTCAAGAATCAATTTCTCATTCACCCATTATCCATTTTGAGTGTACCATATATCGAATTGTATCCCTTAACAAGGACAATCCGAAACCACTTTGACCCGACCCAAATCGGAAGTGAACTCCACTCAAAATATTTCCCAGAAATCACCATTTAATGCAATTTTAACACATTTTTCCAACATGAACAACTTGGATGGGCGGTACATTTACAAGATTGTATACAAGTACACTACATTACAATAGGGAATATGCGACTTCCTCCTTAGCTTAATTCGTCACTGTTGTTAAACCTGCTTAATTAGTATAAGTTACTTCATGTGCTTGTTTACTTTGGTCCATTGTTACAAGCCATTAAACGAAAATATACTTAATTCTACACCAATGTTGTATCTTGTTTTGCTTAACATTTATTAATTCATGCGCTTCTTTCATCGTTTAACGCGTACAAGAGGATGGATTAGATCAGAGAGAGGAAAAGCTGTAAATTAATATGATAATACATACAAAAATATATACCATATACATATTTTCTATGGTGTAGTGCGGCCACTACCGCACTTAAGCTCTTGGTGCATGACTTTGTCTCGGAATTCACAAGTACTAACTTTCTATGGTATAGTTAAAATCTAATTCGAACATTTCCAAACACATTTATGCAACCATTGGTTGTAAATTTCCCGCCTTTATTAAGTATTGAAAGAAGAAATGTACAAATTTAAATCATTTTTTTTATATATAATCAAGTTATACTAGCTCAAAAAAGGTAAACAATTAAAAATCAGTACAAGAGAAAGACATTCCAAAAATTATAGAACTGAATAGTGTAGTATAATTAATAATCAAAATAATGAAACACACACCCATACATTTGAAGAAAGGAGTTTTTTTTTATAAAAAGAGTAGAGGAAAGTACAAAAGGAAAAATAAAAATATACCGATAACCCAACTCCGACTATTCTAGTGTCAAAGTTGGGTAATGTATATCTTTTCAAAGAAGAGTCGATCTGAATTCAGTGTAAGCTCAAAGTTGTGAGGGTTCTCGATCAATAGAATTCAACATCAGAGATTTCTCAAATGAGCAAGCTAGAGTGCTCAATATCAACTTTAACACTAGATGAGTTAGAGTCACAGTTATCTGTATCTTTTTATTTTTTATTTTCGTTGTTTTTCCTTTTGTATCTTTATGTTTCTTGTACTTTCCTCTAGTCTTTTTCAACAAAATCTCCTTGTTTTCAAAAAAAAAAATCTCCTTTCTTTAAATGTATGTGTGTGTTTTATTATTTCAAGTATTAATTATACTATGCAATTAAATTCAATAAATTTTTAGGAACATCATATCGATCTTTCCCTTGTGGTGATTTTTAAAATTTTTCCCTTTTCAAGCTGATATAGCCTTATTAGTTATCAAAAACGAACTTAAATTACTACTAATAAAGTATATTTAATAAAGGTGGAAAATTTACAACCAATGAATGTATTAATGTGTTTGGAAATGTAAGAATTAAATTTTAACTGATCCAAGAAAGGAAGAACTTATGAATTTCAAGACGAAGTCATGCACCAAGAGGTTGAGGGCGGCAGTGACCCCACTGCACCATAAAAACATCTATACAGTATATATTTTTGAATGTATTAGCATGTGAATTTACATGTATGTTTTCGTCCCTCTAATCTAATCCATCCTCTTGTACTCATTAAATGATGAGTATACATATAGTGCTCATTCCTTCTCAAAGAACAAGTCTATTGAGAAGAACAATAGACACAACATTAGTGTAGAATTACGTATTTTTGCTTAAAGACTTGTAACATTGAATCAAAGTAAACAAGCTCACAAATTAGCTTATATTAATTAATTAAGCAGGTTAAACAATAGTGATGAAAAAGGAGGAAGTAGCCAATTCCCTAAAAACGATGTAGTACTTATGTGTTTACGACGAATTAAGTCAAGAAAATGAAGGCATAAATTACTCTACTGCATCTTCAAAAATGTGTATGCAGTAAAAAAAGTTTCTTTTTTTAACTTGTGGGGCCATCTGGTTGTTACCCTTTTGGATAGGGGCCATTTTCTGGCATTGTGAGTCAACAAATTAACAACTTCTATGATTTAGTTTTGAGGGTAGGGTGGATTGTAAACACTTATTATTAATTAACCCATTAAGTAAACGTATATCCTTAGTTATTCCATGATGCAACCATTATGAAAATTGGGTCAAAATAATGTTACTTGTATACCCTAATTACACGTGAATTTTAAAAAACTTATGAGTACTTAATTAATTATTTTATGAAATTCATAAAGTCATATCAGGTCAAGTATGATTCCTATATATTTGAATAATTAGATTATCTACATATTTGATTTTTTTCTTAAACTGATGCAGCAAAAAAATCTCTTAACTTGTTAATCATGATAATAAATAAAGTAATGAATGAATTTAATATTTTTATAGGGAAAGTACATAGTTCTTAAGTGACTATAATTTAGCTTATATTTCAATTTTTAATATGAAGTGAAACATTTCTATATACTTATTAGTGGTTTGCTTCATTTAATAGTTGGAGTACAAAAATGGTCGCATCATTACCATTAGTTAGGTACTATTTCTCTAATATCCCCAAGAAATGATGTGAAAAACTAACAAATATGCTACATGCTATATGAATTGATCGATATGCATATAGCATGATATAGTATATTTATTTTAAATAAATTAAATCACAGGGAAAACACAGAAATTGTTTTTTGATGATTTCCTCAAAAACAAAAAAATAGTGCGATAAAGTGATCATCCAAAAATTGAGCTTACTTTAGAGACATAAATAATCAGCGCAAGGAAGTTTAATAATTTGTACAATTTGAGTACAATTTTTAGACCGTGTCTTAAGTTACAACCTCAATTGTTTCAAATTTACAATAAACTAACTGGTTTACTTCAACTTCAACTTGGATGAGCGTACATTCACAAAATTGTATAAGGTACAAGATTATATACAGGTAGAGTACATTAAAAGTGCGATTTCCCCTGTGATGAGGATAAGATAGGAAATAACGTTACTTTAATTTCTATTTACAAAAGTAGAATACCAAAGTTAGAATTTGCGCAGAAATACAACAAAAATAAGAAATGTATAAGTTCACAAAATTAGAAAATTATTGATAAATGTTCTA